TGCATTTGATTGAAATATTTTTAAAATCAGTACACGGAAATTATTTCGGTAAATCATTGCTGATTCGCAACTATAAAAAACTTTAACGAATAAAAGCACATGCGAAGCAACATAATATATACATTTTTGTCAACTGATTTAAAACCAGCCAACCTTCATCACCAGATACATGGTTGAAATATAGTCCCAAATATAATTAAATAATGCTTTTTGGATATAATGAAACCAAATACAACAAGTCTGCTAATAAAAATGTGTAATATTTATGTTCATGTATTTTGGTTTTAATAAAAACTGACAATTCAAATAAAATAAAACTTCAATAGATCTCTATGATAAAATTTATTTTAAACATAAATATAACCTAATCGTAGCTTACAAACAATATCACATAATTAGTCTGTAGTTCGAAAAGTTTCTGAAAGGGTTCTGAAAATCAACGGTGACTAGCCAGTTAAAGTAGGTGAAGGTGAGCTTTACCAAAAATATAATTAAATCGAGAAAAAAATTGAAAATAAAAACAACCTATAATCATCTATATAATATCTATTTAGAATATATAGAATATCTTGTTATATAATATACAATTATTATATCTCCCCTTATAGGCTCAGTACTTAGCCCTACCCTATTCCTAGTTACCATAAACAACTTAATAAATAAATTACATAAAACTCTTAAAGCTCGACTTCTTGCCGACGATTTAGTGGTGTACAATAAAGTAGCACAAAAAGAATATATGTGAAGAATAGTACAGACATTTTTAACCGAACTAGATGAATGGACAGCTGGTACAGCAACAGTTTTTTATCTTCACAATACCGTCGTTTGCTTCGAAAACTCCTGGAAAAAAATATTCCTGGAAAAATACATACAATATTTGGCGCATGCCACAAAAGACTCAATTTGCTTAAAACCGTATCATATCTTTTCTGGGGTTTCGACTTCTCTACACTACACCTTTTGTATAAAACACTAATTAGATTCAAACTTGATGGCAGTTCAATTGTTTTTACCTCCGCAACCAAGAGTACTTTAAAACCGTTAGATACAATTCATAATGCCGCACTTGGGATCATTCTCGGAGCTTTTTACACTTCACCCATGAAAAGCTTTTATTCTGAAACTAGAGAACCATCATCGCAGTATAGGCGGGTACTTTCAAACACTTTTACATGCTTCTTCTGTAGTTGCTAATCAGTATAATTTAGTCTTCGAAAATACTTTTTCTAAAAATAATCTTGACTTTCTCTTTACTAAACCTCGTACTTAAAAACCTTATTACACACGAGTAAGATTAATTTTGAATAATTTTGACACAACAATCCCAGATGTATTTCGCTATAACATCCGAGTCCATGGTTAATAAGCGTCTCAAATTGCAACAGCTCTCTATAAGAGTTCTCCAAAAAATGCTAATAAAAACGAATTAAACGAGATTTTTGAACGAGACTACCTTAACTGCACAAACATATTTACCGATGCCTCTAAATCTAATGATGGCACTGGTTGTGGATTTGTTACTCCAACGTCTACTTTCAAATTTAAACTACAGCCTAGGTTAAGTGTTTTCACCGCTAAACTGTTGGCTTTGTACTGTTTCTCATGAAAATCTCTGTTTCTCATCAACACGCTTAGCTCTCGTCTTGCAATACAGTATCTGTATATTAACAACCGTTGGAGCAACTAATAAAGACTGAACTACAAATCACCCACGAGAACCACATAATCCCTAAGTTTATCTTCATAGATTTATCCGACTAAATAAGGGCTTATGCTTCCTGTCTTAGAAGAACTATAAAGTTTTATCGAAAAATGGCCATTGAAATTCTCTTTGGATCAGCAGTTGTAATTATATAAAATTCATATTATATATCGCATTCATATTATATAAAAAAGTAACGGGCTGTAATATTACCATAACTCATTTCAGAAAAGAAATAGCAAAAGATTTACAGCAAATAAAATAAAAGGAAAGATCTTCGTCTGGGGAACAGCATATTTTGGAAGAAGTAGAAACAAAGAATCGTCGCAGATGCGTATTTTGCTATAAGAATGTGTCCGAAGAGTTTAACAGAAAATACGCGACTTCCAAAGTATCGCAAACTAGATGGAAATGTGTTAAATATGACAAATTCTATTCTGTAAGTTGTTTCACAAATGTCCACAATTGTACTTTATAGGCATTTCGTATAGAATGCGATACTTCTTCCTATACAACCACTTTTTCGGTATTATATTTATATTATTTTCCAAGTGAGCCGTTTCTTATATTGTTGAAGAAATAAAGCATTTTGTAAAACTAATATTTCTATTACGTTTTATTTACCCTATTATCTAGAGTAAATATTGGTGTAAAAGGGCAGAAATTGACAACCATAATGTTAGGCAATATCGAGTACGTTTTAATACTTGCTAATCAAAAATATTTGTTGATGGAGCTACTAACTTCAAACTTCCATATACTTGTCATTCGCGCGGCCCTCTAAGTAAAATAAGCTTGAATCGTATATGATTCGCGCGGCGTTTAACGTGTTAATGTTAAAATTTTAATCTCAACAACCACTTAAAATTAAAAGCAAAGACTTTCCTGTCAATATTACTTTATTGACGTAATTACTAATGGGTTCGTGTTTACTTAATTGATTTAATTTATATACATCAATATCATTTAATTCGCTTTTAGTCCAGCTCTGTTTACTTCTATCAATTATGGGGGCACGTGGGACACTGCTCAAAAACGTATTTATATACTTTGATGAATGACCGGTAATGATGTTCGAGACATCGATATTTCATTATTGGAAAATGTATTATCAATTTTGGCGACAGCAGAGTAGAGGGTTATTATTCTGTGTGAATTTAGCATCGGATTGCATTAGATAAAATGGCGGATTAACGTTCGTATGATTTGTATTCAAAATAGAAATATTTATGTTAACAAGCACGAAAAAAAAATATTTACAAAAAAATTTAATTTCAATTGCTATTTAGGATTCCTTAGTATCCTACAGTTACACCAGATAAATAAAAAATATTTTTTTCGTGACACTGACACAGCCAGGCAAACAACAGTTGTTTTGAATAATATTGACCTCTGTAACAAGAACCTATATGTTTCCTGCAGTCAATTTTTTGGACTTAAATAGTTATTATAAGGAGCGAATTTTATGCTAAACGCATATTGTTGGCATGTTTTGCATATTTTAAACTTCCAAGTGTTGTATATCTTTAAAAAACATGCAGGTTATGTTTCTATTTAAAATTTTTTTAAAATTTCAAAATACAACAACGAATAGTCAGTCTTATAAAAATATAAAAAAACGTTTGTAATAAAAAATATTCTCACAAAAGATCCCAAAAGAAAAATATCTAGATAGACAATAATTAAATTAACTTTGAAAATAAGGCTATTATCGAGCACAAGTTAATTAAATCTAGCCCAAGTACTTTCGCTTAAAATAGCATCTTCAGGGGCATTTCGTCAAAATGCAAACTATCCGGCAAGCGTAGAATGTGAAAACATTAATAGTGACATAAAATTGTACAAAACACTACACTAAAACGAGGACAAACAGTTTAAAATTACTTAAAGATTCTACGCTACATTTTCTGTCAGTATCTGGAGGGATAATAATTAAATTAGTACAAAAAGAGAAATCATACGATTTATACCTGACGAAATCGAATTCAAATATCAGCCACCGAGCTTCCTAAGACTTGCGAAGCAAACGGCTTGATGAATAAATCGGCAAGGGAATCTAAAATTGCATTCCAAATGCCGTTTATCATTGATAATATTCGTAGTGAATTCGATTTCTGGTACTCCAAACGAAGTAAAGAAATAAAACACAATCACGATATTAGATTTTGATTCGATACAGAGCAGCAACAAGCCGCATATACGTATTTCGACCTCTTTAGGTCTCCTCAGTACGGTATAGCAACTACTCCGTATCGAACCAAAATATTTTCCCGTCGTAGACCATAGTCATTAAAAATAACTATGTACAGACGTAACTACTACTACTACTTTATTGTATTCTAAAATCATTACTGCTTTTCCTGTATCTTGGTCTATTTCGTCTGTATCGATCATTGAAGAGAGCAATACTACAGCTTTATTTTTTTTTGAAACATATGAAACTAGTGAGTCTTGGACTCTGAATATTGAAGATCCAATAGCTCGCAGTTTATTCGAAAGACATTGGAGAAGAAGTTCTTTTTTCTTTTTCTTTAAGGTGCCAATAACTGTCTGGCCATTTTGCCTGAGATAATTAGCTAAAGAATAACTAATATAATATTTATCCCTAGTTATATTGCTTTTGGAGTTGTTTATGGGAAAAAACTGAACGCTGTACTAGCGAGTGGTATATTTGAACATTTGTACGGTCCGTCTCTTTGTATTCCACAATATATCTTGAAATTCCAAGTATAGTAAGACCTGCTATCGCAAAGTGCAATAGTTTTATGAGATATATGGCTAATTTTTGTTGCACGTATTGTACAAAGCCACATAGTCCTCTAAAAATGTTGACTACTTTCAGAATTCATTACGATACCAAAGAAAGAGTGAGCAAAAAAGTGTTGAGAATATAGACTAATAAGTCTAATGAGCCATACACTAAAAGCGGACACTTCGACGATATTTAGAAGAGGGAAAACAAGTAAAGTCTTGTCTTGGGCGAAAGACTATACTTACAAATGCCCAAGAAGCAGCATTAGTTCCAACGTATTATCCGTCTTTCGCAAATTGGATATCCACTTACTGCAAGGGTACGTTGTAAGTGTGTAAATCGGTTTACAGAACTCAATAATATCCCAAATCCTTTTAAAAAAAATAAAGAAATAGCTGGTCGTTATTGGCTACGTGGTTTTATGAAGCGCAATCCTCAAATCAGACCTAGGAAAGCACAAAACTTAAATCAGGCTAGGGCACAAAAGCTTAATAAATTTATTCTAAAGATCATTTTACTAAGCTAGAAGGTAGTTTAAGAAAAATGGACATACTTGATAAGCCCGAACGGATATATAATGTAGACGAGAAAGGTTGCAGGTTAACACTTCACCACCAGCAAAAAGTTTTGGCGCAAAAAGGGGCTAGAAGAGTACATGTTTTTGCAAACGAACATGGAGAAAGTGTTACCATTGTTTCTTGTGGTAATGCTCTCGGTACAGCAATCTCTCAAATGGCACTTTTTAAGGGTAAACGTAGTAAGCCAGAATGGGTTGACTCACTACCTCCAGGTGCTGTTGTTCAAATGACTGCAAAAGGTAGCATGAATAGTGAAACGTTTTCAGTTTGGCTTTAACACTTTTTAAAATTTAAGGTTGCTGGTCCATGTATTATCATATTTGATGGTGCAAGATGCCATTTGGATCACACTATTGTAGAAACTGCCGAAAGATACAAATTTACTATATACTGTTTACCTAGTAATACTACTGACGAGCTCCAACCAATGGACAAAGTTGTATTAAGAGCCTTTGAATACTACTGGGATGATGAAGTTATGAAATAAAATTCTATTCATAGCGATCGTGTTATTACCAAACAGAGATTTAGGGCAATTTTCTCTACAGTTTGGGACAAAACAATGACACCATCTAATATAAAATCGGGGTTTTCTTCAAATTGAATTTATCCATTCAACCAGAAGCTATCCCAGAGATACCGTTTGTCCCTAGTACTATCACATACCAACATCAGGAAGATAAAGAGAATGTCCCATTATCAGAAACTAACGCTTAATGATTTATCCATGCCATCAACTTCAGGCATTCAACAAAAATATTACCGTTGTCATTCAACTTTAGGATTTAAAACCGAAAAATAGCTCAAAAGAGGTTATGTCTGGTCACTGATAGTAGTAACTCTTGTTGTCCCTCTAATTCGGATTTTCAACCGAAGAGTCGCCGGAAATACCATTTCTAGACACTGATAGTAGCAACTCTGACTTATCCTTTAGTTTGCATGATTCTAGCAGTGATAAAGTTATTGATTCAGAAGACGATCACAGTGATTTCTCAAACATCCAAAATACTTCATTCACAATTATGCTCGAATCACCTGAAAATGCAGCAATAAAGAACGATAACAAAAAGCCTAGAAAACCAGCTATCAACTGTAGAGCCCAAGTTGTTACTAAAGATTTATTCGGTAGATGTATTGGAAAAAGTGATTCAGAAAATATTAAAGCTAATACGCATACTACAGATGGTAAAAGAGTCTCGTCATTGCTACGAAAAACCCAATCAAAAAACAAATTTAAGACCTTGCCTGCTAAGAAAAACGGAACAAAAAAACAAGAATCTTGGTTCTGCAAATTATGCAAGGAAGACAGGATGGTAAATATGAGACTGTGTAGCGTATGTAGCACTTATATCCACGAAGAGTACATGGGTCTCACAACTAAAGACAAAATTGGTGCGTTCTTATGCCCTGATTGTGAAAATTAAGACAATATTAAGTTTCTGTACTGTATTTGCTTAACATGTAATAAAACTGTTAAAAATCTGAAACTATTTGATTCTATTTTGTGTTAAGCTTCATAATTAGATATAAAAATTTATTTTCTGTAGAGTGGCCATATTAGCGACACCATGTTGGTAATATGGACAATAGCAGTATTTTTTTAATTAAGTCATAAATATCATATTTTTATCAATTTTTGAAAAATTATACAATAAATATCCTATATTTAGATAACCCATGTAACTGTAATAACAGTTACTTTTTAAAAGAATTATATTTGGCCACAAATACGGACAAAAGTTCTTAAGGTGGCCATATTAGCTGCACATACCTTATACGATTAAAAAGAGAAAGCTAGAATATCTCGGACACATAATGGGAAACGGCACTAAATACAGTTTACTGAAAATAATCTTTCAAAGCAAAGTATTCGTAAAGCGGAGGAATTGGAAGCAGAAGAATATCATAGTAAAAAAACCTGAGGAAAAGGGTCTTCACCACAAAAACTAATCTATTTAAAGCATTAGTTAATAAAATAATTATAGCCAGAATGACCGCCAATATTTGAAACGAATAGGCACCAAAGGAAAAAAATAAACATATTTGTCATACTTTGTTAGATATTTAATTGCAAAATAAACATATTTTAAATAATTAATATATATAGTAACATTAAAAATTAATGTATATTGCAGATGTCATATCAATATTTGTTTCTAATTAACTTTTATAGTTTTTATTCGGATTTTTGTGCTGCCGGTCACGCAAACGCCATCCATTTTAAAATTAAAATACACACAAGGTCCTGTGAAAATTCGTATTACTTTCACAGCTCTTTGATCACAGATAATGGAAAATAGCTGTTAATACCTACTTTTTTAAAATCCGTTCTCGAGTAAAAGGGAGACTCGTTGGGAGTTAGGATTAAAAATCGATGTATTCATTCAAAAGATCTCTATCACCACAGATTAGGGATATGTGAAAAAAATATTCTGGTATTTAATTAAGGTTTGTATTGTGATAGATTTAAACTTGTTAAGTAGGTGTTAAAATTGACCTTACATGTCATTCACTCGTTGCCAGCTTTATACAAAATGGGTTAAATAGCTTAAAGTAAAGATTATCAAAGGATTTTTTACACTAAGTTTAGAAGTACGAGTACATTATGTAGGCTAGAGTTTAGTGAAACAGAAGATTTTTTTTTAATTTTTTATTCGAAATGTAATAGCGGGGAAAAGTTTCTTACTGCATAGAGAAGTACCATGTTTTTTTCTTTTTTTTTTTTAATTCCATCTTCAGGGTTCTACAGGGTGAAACAAAAAAAATAATAATTTTTTTTTCTAATGTAATAGCGCGGAAAACTTGCTTACTGCAGAGAGGAGTACCATGTTTTTTGTTATTTTTTTCTACTATTTCATCTTCAGGGTTCTACAGGGTAAAACAAAAAAAATAATAATTTTTTTTTCTAATGTAATAGCGCGGAAGCTAAATATATTAATGACTATTAGGCTTTTTACCAACTTTTATAGTTTCAAAAAGTCTTTTACATTTAAATAGACAAGAAAATACAAATCCCTTATTTTATAAAAACTTTTATTATAGAAAACAATAAAATTCTCTTATTTTGTAAATACTTTTAATATAGAAAATAAACCATATACTAAATAAACAGGTTGTCTTTAAAAAGGGGTTTAACTAAATATTATATCCTAGACTATTAAATGTAAATTAAACTGCTACTTGTCTTTAAACTCCTAAAAAATGTATGCAGTGTATTGCGCCTTAGTCTTAAATCAAGGTAATATGGTTTTTGAATAAATCCTTGCCCGAATAAATTAATCTCTGGAATCATAGCCGAGGACAGAATTGGAAGCTTTTGGTACAACCTTCACACATCTTTCTACTGCTTGAGTATGACAAGGAAATGACAGAAAATTTGTTGGAAAAATTTCTTCACCATTAATACATTTTCTAAGATCCTCATCAGTTGTAGCACACAAAAGGAAAGGAATTGTAACAGCAATTTTGCCAATCAATTAGGTCATAATATTCACTAGCAGTGAAATTTAAATTAGGAATTTGAAATTCTCTTACATTCGTGTCCAAAGTAGGTATTTTTGTGCGCGTTTCTTTGGATAATATAAATTTGGATAAATAAAAAATACGAATTTCTTTGGATAACAGGATCAATGACGGCCTTTAACTCGTTGCTCAGAGAGCGTGACAATTGAATCATGTTAAAGACGTATCTTGCTCCTTCACCACACGATGGCTTGGTTTTATTATTAAACCATACTGGCGCATAAACTTTTACCACAAATTCGGCCAAGATCTTAAAACCAAAGATGGTTTTTCACTTCCGAAGTAAACACGCAATATACGATTTGCCTTTGAAAAACATCGTGCATGTGATAATTCATCCGGATTACGAGTTGTTAAATCTATCGAGCACTTTCCACTAGAAATCGAATGACAAATTTAATAAAGGTACTTTTGATCACTGCTAAGGTCCCTTATAACTGCAGCTCCTAATTGTGATAGAGTGGTATTAATAGGAACAATATGGACTACTGGTAAATTTTCGCAAGACTCCAATAGTTCACCTATAGTGCCAGAGTATTCACGAGGCCCCGAAGTTTCTCAATTAAGATATTAAAATATATGCCGAAGGGACAATTCATTCATGTGTGACAGACAAATTGACCAACTGTAGAGGACATTTCAGTTTTGTCTCTAAAAACCGTAAAACCCCATTCTTCCTCCCAGTGTTGGCTGCTGTACCGTCGCAGCCTACTACTAGAAGATTAACTGTGTCAATACCGGATTCTTTGAAATAATTTAATATAGATGTGGCAATATGTCTTCCTGTACCTGACATTAAAGTAATGTGATTTAGATATTTAGAACCTGGTTCTTCGAGTAACGAAATGTGTTCTTTCGAAGAAGTTTATCTCCAACCTTTACTTGGCATAGAATTTTATCCTTTCTGTCATCGAAGTATAATCCTTTTATCTCTGCGGTAGATGATTCGAATTCAGTTTGCAGAGCAGAACGGTGTTTTTGACTTGCTCTTCGGAGGTTACTTTGGTCAATAATGGAAGAGATGTCATTTTTCGAAATAACTCCCAGATCTTGCAGTAGTGCAGATGCAAGTGTTGCTGCGGACCCGTCTGATATGCCAAATTGATCCGAAATTCGCTCTAAATTGGGAATAGATAATCTCATTTGCTGACTAGTACTGCGACGTAATATGATTTTTGAAGATTCAAGTTTAACCTCGTGTTTGTCTGAAATATTCTCAAGTTCATCTGATAACTCAGAATCTAATGAATAGGATATATTGTCTTCCTTGAATTATCTTGTACATTATACTGAGAATTGTGATCTTTAAGATAATTTTTCTCTTTTTATTTTGAAATTTTTTCATACTTCTTCGCCTTAATTTGTCGTTCTTCTTTGGCTTGTGGTTTTTCCGTTTCGATTACATCAACGGTCTCAATGACAAATTTTCTCTTTGATCATTGGTCTTGTATAAGGGCTCTTTCTAGAGGTGGTATTTTACGTTTTTTATCACAAACACATGAATCAAATGGAACAATTCTATATGCAGCGATATCAAATAGTTTTCTTGAATCATCTTTGAACTTTTTTACTCTTAAATTATATTATGTTTTTGTTTTGGATATCTGATGAGAGTTTGGTACTTACTCAGGATATCACGAATTAATCGAATAGTACGATTACTTAATAGAGTGGAAACTAAGGCTTTTTCCCAGATGGCTTCGATTTCACTGGTAAGTAATTGAGAAATAACTAGAACACTAGGATTCTTGCCGGAATCCATACCTTTTAGTTGATTACTCTACTAATTAGATATCGCTTCAAAACATCTTCTATTGTTGGCAAAACATTAGAATGTATATTCGCAGGTGCACCAAATATAGGACAACTAGTAGTGCCCCAAGTGTCATTCCATGGCAAACTCATTACATACCGATTAATTATTACAACAACGATCTTGTTTCTATGGCTATCACAGTGGGACTAAAAGACTGAACTAACTTCGTCTTACTTACTTCGTCGAACCGATCTAGCACGAAACCGGTCAAAAAACGTTTCACAGGAAACGAACATTTTACGAATCCTTTACCAGTGGCGTAGATTTATTTAATAAAAATTAACAGTTTGTTACAGTTTCTTCTGATATAGTTTCTATGATGCATTCGCTTAAAAGTCTGTCTGAAAAAGCAGGATTAAAAATAAACTTATAACAAATCTCGCAATGAGTAGAAATATAAGTATTGACAATAATACCATACAAAAAACAGACACTTACAAATATCTAGTACACGAAATCAAAATAAGCAGAGACAATCAAACACATGAAATACAGAGGCGAATAGGCCTAGCATGGGCAGCGTTTGGCAAATTAAGCCATATTCTAAAAAGTTCAATTCCCATGTGTCTCAAGCGAAAGGTTTATAACTAATGTGTTTTACCAGTACAAACTTATGGAGCAGAGACTTTAACACTAACGCAAAAATCTGCGAATAAACTCAGAGTTACACAACGAGCCATGGAATGTGCAATGCTGAACGTGAGCCTTCGAGACCACATAAAAAATCAACAAATCAGGCAAAGATCAGGAGTTAAGTGTAACTGGGTAGGGCACTTAGCCAGAACACAAGATGGACGGTGGACAAGACGTATTATGATGGACCGACGATATAAAACGTGTAGCGGGAAACTGGCTACGAGCGACTCAGTGTAGAGAACACTGAAAAGAGAGTGGACGCGATTGGCTGATTTATGATGATGAAGAAATGTAAGGCGAACATTGAGTATTATTTGATGAGATTTTTGATCTGTTTTGTTTCCAAAAATATTGTTCATAGTTTTACTTGGGTGACAGATAGAACTCTAATGACTTTGTTTTTAACTAAAATATTAGAAAATAATTAACATCGATAAAAGCAGCTTCTTT